ACCCATAAATTGGGCAAGGAACGTTGTAGAGAGATCGTTCCAATTTTTTATAGACCTTTGCTGTAACCTTCTGAACCACCTTTGGGCTTTATCTCCCAAAGTTAGGGGAAACGCGCAGCACATTATGGCATCTCTAGGTCTTTACAATTCCATTCAGGAAGTATATTTATCCAGATGACTTGGGGGACCTCCTTCCCCTTCATAGCCAGTCAGTTGTGGCATTTTCAATTTTCTAGGTAAGGGTTCTGTCAGGATGTCCTCGATGAAGGGAGAGTGGCATTTTGTGAGATATTCCTCCATGTTTCCTTTGTTTCTAGCTTCCAAATCAGCTACACATTTTCTTAGGACACTCATTTCAGGCTCTGGTCATTCAACATGGCGATTGGTACGGCGTTCATCTTGTCTAGTTCTAGGTGTCAAAGAGTGTTGAGAACCCAATCTATTAAATACACTATTTGTTCTCCGGCAGTTGGTTTTATTGTTAGAGGAGAATTCCTGACCTCTTCAGTTAGGCTTTTGGAAGATTCTCCACCCGAGTACTAGAGAGTCATTCTGGTGGGAAGTCTAGTTCTTTCTCGATGAGGAGATTCCACTTCGATATCTTGTGGTGGGTTATGAGTTTGGTTATGCTTCAATTTACTGACAACATTTGTCAATCTTTCAATGGCCTCTCTCATTGTTACCATTTGAGGGTCAGTAGTCTCGATAAACTACACAAACGTCTTGCACAAGCCAAACTGTAACCGAGTTGACCTTACCTTCTCGATCTCTCGTTAGCACATATTTGTTACGTACAATAACTCGGATTTAGTTGACCCCTGAGGTTGGGTGTTAACAGAAGTAAATTGATATGAAGTTGTAAAAAGAAAATTGTGTATTTATATGCAAAAAAATATATCTGTTTTAACTAAATTTGAATTTCAAATTCAAATTTTAAATTTTCACGAACTTGACTAGGCAAACACGCAACTTGATTAGACAAATGCGTACAGGAAGTTGTCACTGACAACTGCCTGTACGCAGCTTGACAACTGCCTGCTTGCAAGCAGCTACAGTTTTTAGCTGCCTGCAAGTACATAGCTGCCTGCGTGTGCAGACACAGCTACAACATTTTTTTATTTTTTTTTCTTCCTGTTGTTTCGATTTTTTTAAAATTATTAACGGGCTTGGCTTATGCGGACCGGCCAGGACTCGAGGCGATGCCCCAAAATGAGGCTCGACCAAAGCCTCCACCGAGCACGAGCCGGCCTGGTTCAAGCTTTTTTTGAGGAGCTTTTTTGCCATCCTTAGATCCATCAAATGGACTTTAAAATAGGATTTTTGAATGGTGAGATAGAAGAAAAAATATATATGAAACAGCGTGAAGGGTTTATTGTCCCTAGACAGGAGAAGAAGGTGTGTGAATTCATCAAGTCCCTATATAGTTTAAAGCAAAGGCCAAAACAATAGCTTTAGAAATTTGACAAACAATATTATCAAATGGTTTTAAAATTAATAAATGTGATAAATGTGTATGTGTAAAAACCATACCTAAAGCCTATGTAATTGTATGTCTATATGTTGACGACATGTTGATTACCAGTAGTAATCATGATATTATCATGAATACTAAGAAAACGTTGACAAAATATTTTGACATAAAGAATATATGGGTTGCAGATTTCATATTAGAGATTCAAATCTTTAAGATGTCTGATGGACTTGTTCTATCCAAATCTCATTACATCAAGACTATAATTGAGAAGTTTAATGTATATGATGAAAGTCCAACAAAAACTCCAATTGACTTAAGTCAAAACTTAGTTAAGAACAAAGGTGAGTCAATATCGCAGTTGAAGTATTCACAAGTTATAGATAGTCTAATGTAAATTATAAATTGCATTCATTCGGATATAGCATATGCTATGAACAAACTGAGTAGATTCACTAGTAATCAAAGCAATGACAATTGGAAGGCATTAAATAGATTCTTAGATATCTAAAATATACCTTAAATTTTGGATTATATTATACAAGATATCCCGCTGCATTGAATAGATTTTGTGATGTGAATTGGACTTCAGACACAAATAATTCTAAGTCTACCAGTGGTTATGTTTTCACTACTGGTGGTACAACTGTATCTTTGAAATCCTCGAAACAAACATATATAGCTCGATCAATAATTTTACTAGCTCAAGGACTTGGTTTTTCAACAATTTGGGTTGAGTCAGATTCTATAGTGGCTATTGACTGCATCACTAGAGGATGAGGGCCATATGCTATTCAGGACATACTCAGATGTATCACAGATATCTTATCATTCGACGGAGATACAGTTTCTTACATTTATAGAGAAGGAAATTAGGTTGCAGATACTCTTGCTGCTGAGGGTTGGGATCATCGATGATATCTGGTATATGAACTACTTGACCTACCATGACATATTAGGGCACCAGTACAAGTTGATAGACATGGATTGACCAGTGCCAGAGTTAGATTTTTATTTTTACTTTCAATTCTTATTTTTGTCTTTATTTGCATTAGTTCTTATTGTAAAGGAAATAGTACTTCCTCGTGTACTACTTTATTCTTTGTCATTTATTTTCATTGTAAGAAAATAGTATTTCCTCATTTATTACTCTGATTATAACCACGGTATTCTTTCGTCACAAATGAGGGCATACTAATAAAATCTTGGAGGTATTGCTCTCCTTTAATCAAAAATAAAAATAGCTTGATCAACAATAGAATAAGAGTTTATAGCTTAAGATAAAGCTCGAGAAAAATCACGATGTCTTTATAACTTTTTAGAGGACATTTTATGTTGCCATAAACATATGCTTGCAATTAGTATGTAGTGTGATAGTCAATCGTTCACCGAAAGAGCGCAAAGTAATATGTATGATAAGTTTAGACTTATATGTTGTATATTTACTATTAAGCAGTTGATCTCAAATGATATTATTTCCATTGATTATGTGAAATTAAAGAAGAATCTTTCATATCCGCTTACAAATTGTTTGCCCAAAGATCAAGTTTACTCTCTGTCAAAAGAAATGTGCTTAAAGCTTATTATGTAAGAGTCTTTGTAATCGTAACCCAACTTTATTAACTGGAAATCAAAATCTTGGTTCAATGAGGACAACTGAAGATTCTATGAAGCACTTAGCAGTTATCTCCGACCCATTCAAATGATAAGAAATTTTTTTCTTCAAAATGTAAGTTTCACTTTTAATAATTTCTATAACATGGATAAGCCAAATGAAGTATGACAGAATACTCTTAATAAGAGATCACCCATGTAACTGTGAAGTGGGGCCGCTTCTAGGAGAATTTTGAAGGCTGGAATTCTCTAAAGCACTTATGAAATTCAAGAGTTGTTAATGGTCAAAATGAAGATAGCCATGAGAATCGAAAGTATTAGAAAAGATATTGTGCGAGTACTGTTGTCTTGGTTTACACTAATGGCTGAATAGTCCAAGACATCATGTTCACTGATTAGCCAAGTAAATCTAATAGTATTTCACTATTCCAGGTTCAAAACACAAGCAACATTTTCTGATACAATAGCTTTCTGACTGTACTCTTTATTAATGTGTGAATTATCATTTGCATTTTTCATAAATTTTCATTCATGTGAATGATTGTTGGAAATGGGTTTATAAATAGGCTGATTTTTAATCAACTTTGACCAAGTTTTCACATAGGTCCCATAAATTAATTTATGTGGATAAATAGTCGAACACATTCTATTCCGTGAGTTGATAATCGTGGTATATTTGGTTTCGCGAAACCATTTCCGAATGAATAAGAAATTAATTCCTAAAGTGAGGATGTTTTAATGGAGAAATTGGAATATAAAAGGAACAAAGTTCAAACTTAGTCTCACATAGGAAAAAGAAGGAAGTTATGACTTGTTTACTAATCCCTACATTGAGACTTAGGTTTGGGACCAAAGGGATACCACTAGTCGTTAAAGGGAAGAGGACCAAGATCTTATTGAATTCAGTCTAAAGTCNTATATACAGAAATGATCTAATGAGCACCGGTGCTCATCTTATCCTAAACACCAATGAGTTGGCACATTAATTCATTGGTGGATTGGAACTCACAAAATCTTTATCCACCAATGAATTAATGTGCCAACTCATCGGTGCTTAGGATAAGATGAGCACCGGTGCTCATTAGATCATTTCTGTATATATATTTTATAAAAATAGTTAATTAATTAATTGATTGTTTTAGATGATTAATTAATTTTTTGAAATTTTTGTTCGATACTGGAGTGGAACTCAGGCGCTGAACGAGTGCCTGTTGAAAGCTCAAGCGGCTCCTGAGCTTTTCAAGAGTAGTTGGCCTTAATTAATGGCGCTCGAGCGGCTTCATTGAGAAAAGTCATGTCTGTTCAAACAAGGCATTACCTACGAGTGGTGTCTATTTGAACACAACTTTTGACTTATTATTAATATGCTCCCATGTTCTATAGAATCCATATCATTCATAAACATTATATTCATTCATTTCCAAAAGATTTTTGCATCATAATTTCTTGTCATCTAGAGAGTAGATAGCATATTTTTCGAGTTCTTCATTCTTGCCATTTGAAGTGCTTCTGTAACAAGAAAAATGCCATATCTTGGGAGATGATTACCAACATACCGTAAACAACTAGGTGGGGCAATTCGTCTTAAAAAGATATAGTCGAACTCTAGCGTAGGTCTACCATATTCATTCCACGTTCTTTTTTTCTTTGGTTTGTTTTATTATTTCACGTAAGTTATTTACTATGTTTTTATTTCAGAATATAGATTTCATCTTCATTATTTGCCTAACATATAGAACTGCTTATGTCCATTCTAAACAAACTATTCACAATATACTGTGTGTTATTGCTAAGCATGGAGCCATAATGTTATATGTCCAGAAAAATGAATGTGTACTTACAAGGTAAATCCAATTTATTAGTAAAGACAAAATACATAGTGTTTTACAATGATGAATATGCGTATTCTTGGGCATTACCGCGGATATAACTCACTCATTGTAGCATCATTTATTGACAAACAAGCAGAATTAGATGACCTTCTGTATGACGATTCTTTGGTCTCTGATGGTATTGATTTGAGGTCGCGAAGAAGAGAAATTTTTGGATCAAAGCAACTAGACACAAAAAAAGCAGGCTGTGAAGGTATTGGTAGAGTTATAGAAAAACTAGTGAGCATGAGAACTATTGACGCCATTGTAGGTCTGTCAGCTGCATCTTCTTGAACACATAGCAAACCAATATGAATGCATCGCATAATGTCATGAAAGGATCGTGAAGAAGTCCTCAACGCGGGATCTATTACATTTGTTATCATTCCTTCGTGCCAATTTTTCCAAGCCTATGAGAATGTGACACGTTTAACAAATAAAATATTCAAAAATATCATTACTTTCTACAAAATCACAAACAAGACTTAATTTTACTTACATAACTTAGGAGGTCCTCCACATCCTCCCCATTTTGGAAACTATTAGTCTTTTGACCACTTATGATTTCCAGAACTATGACGCCAAAGCTGAAGACATCTGATTTACTAGAGAATTGTCCGTGAAATGCGTACTCAGGGCCATATATCCACTGCAATGGTGAGTTTGGAAGTCTATAGTTAGTTACCAATATGTAGATATATACAGATATGTTTAATATGATACATGAATTGTTAGCACTGCTTTGTTGCTTTTCATGCATAACAATAATCCTATAGGACCAAGCATTTTTTGAAGAAATCTTACTAGGTTCCTACTAGTACTGCCATGAGTTTGGTCTTGAACGAATAACCTCGCCATGCCAAAATCTGATATTTTGGGATTAATCTTTCCATCTAACAAGATATTGCCAGCTTTAAGATCACGGTGTATGATCTTGAGTCGAGAGTCTTCGTGTAGATAAAGAACTCCCTTAGCAATCCCCCTTATGATTTCATAGCGTCTATTCCAATCCAATTTCAGACGCTTGATTGGATCTACAAGTAGGCATATGATGTTGTGACGATAACTATGCTTAAAATGACAAGCAATTACATGTATAAGCAATTTGTTGTAAAAAACATATGATTTACTTCAAATAGAATGTTACCAAATAAGAAATGGTCAAGACTTCCATTCTCGACAAATTCATATATAAGAAGCCGCTCGCTTCCTTTTAAAGAGAAACCTAAGAGCCTTACTAGATTCACGTGTTGAAGACTCGCCATTAACAAGACCTCATTCTTAAATTCGAGATCACCTTGCCTCGAATTCATAGACAATCTTTTCACGGCTATTTCTTGCCCACTGACAAGTTTTCCCTGAAAATAAAATTTTAACAAGTAAAATATTATTAACTATCCTCATCAATGAATAGTTTGGATAAATGCCAATACTCTAAACCGATATTTGAGTTACTTTATCAAATAGCAACGTTCTACTCGTATATATTGCAACAATATTTTAATAATTACCTTGTAAACAATGCCAAATCCACCTTGCCCGAGCACGTTAGCATTGGAGAAATTATCTGTTGCTGCTCTAATTATACCGAATTCATAGTACACGGATTCAACAGAACTAATTTCATCGCGAGCTTGAAATCGTATACAAGAACATTTTAGGTGAATTGTAGGTGAAAGAAAACTAAATAAATGTTTATGTACATATAAAAGCAGATATATCTAAAGAATATTATAAGCTTACTTTCAAGTTTTGCCCTCGGTTTATGATTTTGTCTAAACCTTAGGAAGAAACCAATGCAAAGAGCAACTATTAGACCCACGATAATTGGAACAATAACATTAATGATAGTTTGAGTTGTATTTTTGTCCTTTCCTGCAATATCATAATAAAATCGCGTCGATATAACTTTTTGAACTTTTTGATCAAATCTAACATTTTTTCTAGGAAAGGTTTGGAAGGATTATGTTAGTATATTTTCTCACCCGGTGGTGCCGGTAGTGGTGGTGTTGGTAGTGACATTGGTGGTGGTGGTGGTGCCGGCAGAGAAGTATCATTATAAAACAAATAGGTTTCGTAGCGAAGAAGGCAGCTGGGGCAATACACTCCGAATCCTAGTTTCCCATTACAACATTGTGGTATAATCTCAGCAACCTGGATTAAGCAATCACTACAATCATCTGAGCTTAAATCAGGAGTGCACTGTACTAGTCCATAAAGTGTCAAAAGATCGGGAGCAGTCGTGTTGGCAGCAGCAAACTTCTTGCCAGCGCCACCATAAGCAGCCTGGCTGCGGAGATTATCCAACAATGTTCTCAAATCCCTGTTGAACTCTTGCCGACTTGGGGCGTCGGATGTTACAAGCCACGCTTTGCGGGGGTCAGTTGCAAGTTTTCCAAATATTGATTCATTGGAGTAGCGTACCATGCAATTACCAACCGCAGCCCAATAGATCGCCTGTTTTTGGTAAGGACAGAGTTGTAAGAGGGCATCCGTAGCGTTAGTGATACAACTACGACATTTATCAAGCTGAAAGTCTCCTCTACAGAGTGCCATTGCATTTAGTCTATCGGAATTTTCTCCATATGAGGCATTGTAAAATCCATTGCCATCAATTAAAGAAGTGATAGAGTAGAGGAGGGTATCGAGATTTGCCTTGTACGTGCTATTACTTGTGTAGTTACCATTGTTGAGACACCAATGATCCTGGGATTTAACCATAGCCAAAAAGTGTGTCAGATTTAGGAAAATGAGAGCAAGCCATATCCAAGGACTCATAACTGCAGTTTGTATTCGTGTCTAATATGGAGAGAACACAAATTGTTCTCCCCTTTAATAAATTCTCCTCTTTGTGTGAACATGTTGTATCCTTTCTAATCTTTTAGACGTGACTCCAATGAATCGTCTTAAACATTTTCAGTGTCTTTATGAAAAATCAAACTAGGGTCAGTCTTGAAATTATACTTCTTCAAAAATATTATTTGCATATTTTGACTTTTTAGACTCAAATTCTTAAAGTTCAACTAGGTAACTCAAATCCATATAGGTTTAAACGATGAGGATTTTATCCTTCATCATAGGAGTTAGGACATAACGAGAAACTAAAAAGTTGAGTGTTATGATTGAGACGGAAGTGCACATTGGAGGTATTTTCCAATCATTTACCATTCCAAAGAAAGTTATTCTTTCAACAGAAGTTTCTTCATTTTACATGCTATTACTTGTGTAATTACCACAAATGCTTCTGGGATTTAACCAAAGCAAAAAAGTCTGTAAGATTGAGGAAAATGAAAGGTAGCCATTTCCATGAAGCCATCGCTGCGATGTCTATATATCTCAAATATGGAGAAAATAAAATATTGAAAGTGCACACAAATTGAATTAGAATCAGTATAAAGTAGATCTTATACGAATCAAACCAATAATTAATCGTTACCTTGTACAAGCATGAGATACAAAATGATAAAGCACATTGTCCAAAAATCGATACATGTCAGACCGCGTCAACCCACACAATATGTAAAACTTATATACATCACTAACAAATTAAATTATGGTACAAAAAATTTAAGTCATGTACACATATCATTAAGTGTGTGTGATTAATCTTCTTAGGAAGAAGAGCTCAATCCCTTTTTTTATTAATTATAGTTTATATGATGCCTTAATCATTCATCTTAAAAGGTTAACTATTTAAAAGGGTAAACTCAAGAAATTGATTATTATTTCATATTTAAACTGTGTGAGATTTTATCATTAATATGCCTCAAAGTATGGTGACTCGTTTGATATTTTATCATTAAAAATTGAATTATTTGTTTGGGTTTCAGACAGATCGAAATGCTCCTTTCAGCTTTTTATAAAGCTTGGATCCCAATTAAATTTTGTTAAGCCTTGATCTTGATGGGTATTTAAGTCAAATCATAAGTAGATTGTACCCTCGCCAACATCTTTGCCACGGCAGGAGGGGCGGGGTGATGGCTTGTTTTCAACGTCAGTGATAAAGTAGCCATTATTTTCAAGTCTAAAGATTGAACATTGACTAGGACGTGGATAATGTGCAAGAAAAGAAGGGGGAAGGGCTTAGTATTTTCCCATACTGACCATTTCAAATAGATTTTTCTTCTTTCTACCCACCAACAAATCGTGTCAAACTTTCCATCCTGATCACACTGGAAAACCTCATATTTTGGGCAAATTGATTTTTCACCAATTTTTAAACTTGGTCAAAAAACTTGTAGAATTCAGACTTTGGCCTTAATGGATACAACCATGTGAATAAGGAGAAATCATCAACAAACATTGCATTGCATTGAATTTTACTTTTTTATGTTTGACAATTAACACGTATAGGAGGTTAGTTACACAATGAGACACATTAATAATTTTTTTCCCCTTTAACAAAGTAATTAACTTTGGACGGGAATGCCCTAGTGGTCGAAGCCAAATAGTTCGAATCGAACCACTTTTTCTTAATATGCTTAAAGTTTGATGAGAGATTCCATCCAAGGCATATAGCTAAACCTTCTTATGCCCCTTGCGATTATCCTTTGGTTTTGGTCTTGAACAACAAACCCACAATAGGTGAACTCAAAAGAACAACGATTATTTGAAGTACACTTTCCAATGGGCACTAAGTTTTTTTTTTTCAAATCTAGGAGTACAAGACCATTGTTCAGTTTAAAGCGTGTTTCCTTTTGTCATAACATTTAAAAAAAAAAAAATTAGAGTCAAAGTTTAGCAATAAATACTTCTGGTTTGCATTTTTCTCACATTCTCCCATACCTCACAATATTCACCTTTTTCAATGGCTTAGATTAAGTCACGTTAAATTCTTAAAAAAAGAGCAAAAATGATGGGATGGATCGACATGCCAAGCACTACTCTGTAAAATTATCTCAGATTCCCAAAAAATCATAATGATTTTAAAATTCACCAAACTGGGCTATAATATACCCTAAAGCAGAATCAAACTCAAATGCGTTTAAAGAAGACCTCTTGATAGATTGTACACCTTCTACTATGCTGAAAGCATGCTCAACAAAATCAACATCTAAATACCTTTTTCCACTAGGCCCATCCTTAACAATTGAATACAATGGCACCGTAGGTGATGGTGACAAAACAGTATTATCCATATTTTATGAACTCAACTGAGTAGTATTCTTCAAATCCGACCTTTTACGATCTCTTAAAGGTATTGTACCAAATTGAATGTCTACCATGGTACTGAACCTGTGCTGATTAACTCTTCTAGATTATGCACAACCCTGCAAGATGTATGATTGAGACCTTTTTTATTCCTCCAATACAACCTGAACACCCTTACAAACTTTTAAAACTCCACCTCCACCAAAGAACTCATAAATTTTTGAATCAATGATAGACAATGAGATGAGATTCTTGTTCAAATCTTGAAAATGTCAAACCTGGTCATATATTTTAATCGTCTCATCCAATAGCTTTAATCTGACCGTACAAATTCCAGCAACCCAACAAGATGTGTTGCTTTCCATAACCACAACACCTTTGGAAATGGTTTCATATGTAGTAAACAATTTATTAGGACACATATGAAACACACATGCTAAATCCAAAATCCAATCATCTTCTGGTTTAGACTCAATGTCAGAAATAGCCAAGAGATCTCCCTCACTTACAATATTCTTTGCGAGGTTTGCTTCACTTGAAATCTCTGATTGTTTCCCATATCGACTTGCAGCTAACCTTTCTTTATTCTGCAATTTGTAGCAATCCTTCTTAATGTGCCCCTCCTCTTCTTGCAGAAGTTACAAATTTGATTATCGGACTTCGATCTGCCCCTTCTAGAACAACCATGAACAATAAGGCTTTCTCCATCTTAGGCCTCAGATACCAGATGCTTTATCTTCTCTTTTAAAAATAAAGCATCATACACCTCCTCTATGTTGAGATTATCATGACTATACAAGATCGTGTCTCTAAATGAAGAAAATGAAACAGGAAACGAACACAATAGGATTAATGCAAAATCTTCTTCATCATACTTTAATTCCAAAGTTTCCAAATCAGCGAGAATCTCTTTAAATACAGCTAGGGAATCTTTCAATGATCATTCTTCTGCCATTTGATGAGAATATAAATGATGCTTGAGATGCAACTTGGTTGTAAGACTTTTAGTCATACACAATTGCTCCAACTTCAACAATAAAGCAGCTATTACGCCTTTCTTCAAAATATCCTGAAGAATATTGTTTGATAGATGAAGATGAATGTGAAAAATTGCCTTCTTATCCTTCTATAATTTCTCATCCAAGGTCAAAGTTGTGGGTATCTTGTTAATTCCCAACAACACGCCATCCAAATCCTACTGTGTGAGTAGTGTACGCATTTTAACATGCCATAGAGAAATTTTAGTGTTTCGATCCAAAAGCGGAATGTCATACTTCATGGATGCCATCACGAACAAAAACCTCGAACAAATCAAATCTTCCGCTCTACGGAACTGCTGAATATAGGCTCTGATACCACTTGTTGTGTTAATTATGCCTAGAATCTTTGATACCAATTGTTGGGAATTAAAGGATCATGTATCGTTCGATACCACTTGATATAACCACCGGATTGAGATGTTGAAGTTATATGATACAATGATGAAGTATTTGATCACAAGCAAAGGAATAAAAGAAGACAGGAAAATATAGCAGAGGAATTAAGAGATTTTATTTCACCACAAATAATGAAGATGAAGAAATATTATACAATGATCCCAAAAGCTAGTAATTATTTTTCTCACACTATTCTCACATCATAAAATCGTATAGAAAACCCTAATAGGGAACATGTAGAGGACATTCAAACCTTCCTAGTAGAGTTGTTGATTAAGTAGGACGCCAAAAAATCGAGTCCAAAATGAAAAATAAGAAAAAAAAAAGGAGAAAAATTCGGAATAGGTGCTATGGCCCCCACCTTCGGGCACCCAACATCGGTGTCGGTGCTATGGCGCCCCAGTGTCCAGGGCAGAAAATGAAAAGGGATGTTGTGGCACTGCGATGCAGGGCGTTATGCCCACTTTTCCCTCTTTTTTTATTCCAAGTTGTTTTCTTCATTCCGAACTCTTTTTCAAGTCTAATATCAATTTCCAACTTCCAATGGGCTTCCAAAATGGAATTTCAACTTGACATAGGACTCCAATAGCATTCCAAACTGAATTCTTTTTGACGTGCACTTCAATTAGATGCTTCAATTACTTCGACGAGGAATTCAAGTCACATCCAAATTTTAATAAAATATGTTGAACGTTGTTCACATTAAAAATGAGGAGTGATTTTGGAAGTGATGGAAGTTGTTAACCATGAGAAAAACAAGAAAAAACAAAACGAGAACAAAAAATGGTGAAGGTTGAAAAATGGTCTGGGCAGCTGCCTAGCCTTGTGTTCTAATTACAGTGACCGTTTTGTTGAACTGGGCAGGAATCCGATTTTGTACTGGGTGGCTGCCTAGTACAACAATTTGCCCATCGGGGTTTTGAATTCTAGAGTCGTTTAAAAGGGTTTTACATAATTTTGGCTTAGTTTTTGCACATTTTTTTGCAAGGTGATTGTAATTCTATATATATAAGTGATTTTCATAATTGAAAACAAATCACTAACATCAAATTGATTCCATTACATCCAAAATCTAATATCAAACCAAGTTTTTATAATTTTGTTCTTTAGTTCCTTTTTCCAAATTTTGTTTGC